ACATCAATGTCATGTTTTGGAGAACGTAGAGTTAATAATGTCATTAGGTCGACAAACACCAAATCACGAGCCGTCTGCTATTTGTGATATCGGCCGTGTGTCTTTCAATCGTTTTTGTAATACCAAATTTTTATAAGAAAAATTTAATATAAATATTGCTTTTAAAACGGAGTGCAACGCCATCTTCCATTTCAAATTTATACGATTCTCACTCCATAAGTGACATTTACAAGAATACCAAGATTTTATCGTAAGATGATATAACATATTTATTGGAAGAAAATTGCTACTTAAAAAAGTTATTGTAATTTTTGGTACTTTTAGAGCATTCCCTTACCCCACTTCGAGGCGAGGCGAACAAAAGAAAAAAAATGAATTTAGTAATTCATTATATCACTATGTGTGTGTGTGTGTACACACACGCAACCCCGAAGAGGAATGAAAAGTCGATCTTCAATGTTTCTTTTGTTGTTTCTCATCTGTTTTCTTACTTTAATTAATAGTTCGAAGAACAATTGGCTCCTCAACGGCCAGCGGCCATGAAGATCACCTTTTCATTCCTCTTCGGAGTTGCGTTATGCAGATATATTAACGGACAGTATTACGAAAAGGACTTTATCGAGGAAGTTGTTTAACAGCTTCAACCCATGCAGTCCACCTGTTAAAGAGGACTCCAACGGCTCCGATTCGCGCACGAACGCGACAAAGGGCGAGCTCTATGCTCACAAAATTACCTTGGGCATTAGAGGGTTAAGAACCACACGCACAGAATTTTTCAATTTTCCAGCGTGCAGATTCTGATTCTGAAAAAAGACACACGTAGCTTCAGACATTCCGAAAAGTTTCACCATTAATACTTCTTGCTAGAGGCGTAAAGAGAGATGAGGAGGGGAGGGGGGTCCCCCCCCCCCAGGTGTCATCTAGGGGTGACCAATTAGAACATTTTAATTGGAATTATGTAATGATTTATTTCAAAATATTTAAATTATTGTGAATTATATTTTTTAAATATATTATAAATAAATGTCATGTGCAAATGTACTTATTTTTATCCACTTTGGTTAGGTAACGTGAAACATTATGCTATGATAATCAGTTTCGTAATGAAGTACTTTATCATTACCACACTAGTGCAGTAATGGCATACGAGTAGGGTTATTCTGAGACGAGCACTATTCCATGGTCTACTATTGAGAATAACAAAATTAATCAAATAATTTATTATGAAAAACACTTTGTTAACAAATTTTCAAATAATAACAATAATAATGTTTTAATTATTATACACATTAACAACAAATTTTTTGCAATTTGAAATTGTAATTCCAGATGATGTTGAAGCCTGACAATTTGTATTAGTATTTGAAATACTATTTTCCCCCATAATTTTCATAGCAATTTGTTTCTTGTTTTCTACTGACGATTTCACATACCCTTCTGCAAGTTTTTCTGATATGCAATGAATGTTTTTGTTTTCACACCAATCCTTAAAAATTGAGTACTCACGCTCATAGTTCTTCTTTCATTTATATGGTAACAAATAATCTATAGCAGCATTTACTGCTATTTCTATTTCCAAGTCTGAACTGCATTCGCTCATGTTGTCGAAATGTGTACACCATGTGCGTTTCAATTGTTCTCCTTGTTAAGAACAGTGTTGCCACTTAAAGGGGAAAAATGTGAATACTAAATGAAAATTTTCATCTTAAATCTAACAAATTTTTACAAAGTGGATAAACTGTTGTACGATATTCGTGCCGTAACATCTGATTACAATACTCAATTGGTTACCAAACTCGTCCTAAGGGACTCGTTTGGCAATTTTCCAATCTCGTATGGTAATCAGATGTATTACGACACTAATATTGTAAATAACTATTATTATATAATGTATAAACTATTCAGTAATATATTAGACACATTTAATTTATGGGGGTGGGGTAACACCATCAGAAGCTATGCTACTGCTTTCTGCTTTGCTACATGTATGCTAACCAAGTTAATGAATTGACTATCACAATATTGACAAACATTGCTAGATTGTTTAAAAAGTTTATTTTATTTCATCTGTTATATAAAGTTTAATTCCTTAATTGAAAACTAATACATTCACCTTTTTTTGTGAGTGACGAAAGCCAAATAGCTCTCCATGCAAGTGGCGCTCATGGCACATGACAGGTCTGCTATACTGCACATACGCTCTGATTGTTTTTGAGGTGTGGGTGGCCTTCAGTTTTCCTTGGGTATTGCATGAAATTCTTGCCAAAGATACTCATTTCTTTCCGCATTTGGAATTCAACTTCTATATGACTTAGGGTGGGGATCCCTGAATTAAGAAAATATGTACAGACAGAATGCACTTCCCCCTGTAGCGTAGCACATTACTCACAGTTTTTATCGTAAAATAAATAAATAAATGGTAGGTTCAGCAAGAGCCCCTTGTATTCTTTTAGTCGACAGAGGTCAACAAAGTGGAATGAGAAAATCTGTGCCATTCTGCAACACTTGTTTCTTAATGAAATCTATTCCTGAACATTAAATCTTTAAATGAGGTCATGTACAATTTTTCCAAAACATGAGTGATTTTCAGGTAATATTTTGCAAAATCAAGGCAATTGAAAAACAAGATTTTGTCATAAATAGATTCAAATTTTTTGGTATTTGTTTTCTTGAATAGTGCGTGGTATGCTTACAACAATGGCTAACGTCCAATTTTTGTTAAAGCCTCTCAATATTCCAAACTTGCAGAAGTTACAAATAATGTGAAATGGTAGTTACTGTAATAGCACAATTAATTTCAATGCTAGTGCCAGTCAACAAAAAAAGAAAATGTTACTGCATCTAAAAATGGAAACTATGACAAAACAAAACAACAACAATGGTTGAATTGAATTTTTTCAACACTTTTCAAACATTTTTTTTATGTAGTCATAGTTTAACTACTCATGTCACTAGAGTTTGGTGAACTTTTAACCTTCTTATCCTTTCTAAAATCATTACATGGTAACATGTGGTTTCTGCCACTATTACTGGAAAACCCTGGTCCTGTGAAATTTTACACAAATAAGTTGGTGAAGTGACTAGGGTTATCTAATGAATCCCAGTTACAAATCCCTCTTACCCATATCCAACCATAAAGTTCTTATGAAAAGAAATCATGAAACTCTTAAAAAGTTTATTTATTAAAAAAAGAATCAGTATCACAATGTCACACATATTTTATAGTCTACTATATGTTCATACAATATACAACATTAACACTCTGTAAAATAATGGCATACTTCTGCTCACATGACAAAAATCTTTAGAAAGTGCAATTCTTATGAACAAAGAAAAACTTATTGCATAATGAGAATGCGAGAAAATTTGAAATCATATTTCAAGTACTATTTAATATTATTATAAACAATATAAAAATTAATGATCCAAAACAAATCATACAAAAAACATGAAAGAGGAAAAATATTTTATGACAGAACATTTTCTGTTACAGTTTTTTTGTTACTGGAAACAACACATTTCTTTTGGGATCTGGTCAAATAGCTTCAATCCCTTTATTATATTATATCTCAAAACCTACATGTTCTGTTTGCCAATTATTAAGGAATTTATTATTGATTTGCATGCTTGACAAGAACTGTCCTGCTAAAAATTGGCTAGCTTCTTTCAGAAGTCTTGGACTAAAACTTATTTACATTCATTATCATGTTAAGCTGTAAATCATAATCTGACACCTAAATCATTTGCATAGGTATAAACATGCACAAACATCCATTATAACATGCTCGATATAACTTATCATTGTAAATCGTTTGATAGCCTAACTCGAAAATCATAAATTTTTGGATGACATGCCTGTTGAGACTTAATCAGTAGATGTCAAGGTACAATTTACCACAGTTTACAGCTATTTCACTGCAATCTATTTCTTATAAGAAATGTGTGTGGTTCCTTAAATGGAATGCTTTAAACCTGAATTACACTTCAGATTCTATAATTAACTTTTCCAACTTTTCATGATTAAGAAGACTACTTTTTCTACCATATTAAAAAGTATGAATCTTTGAAAAAAGAAATGGCACTTCAATTTTTTCTACAACTTCTACATATCAAATATTGTATATAAAGATTTCTTTCCTTCATTTGTTATTTCAAAGTAACATTTGCAAACCTCTAATCCTCAACAATCTGTTGCAATCACAATTACATTTCAATTACTACAAATAACGAAAAATTTCAATCAGCACAGAAAATACAAAAGAATAATCTATCAAAATATAAATGGAAGTATGGTCCCTCCAGGCACTTCTTTCAACAAGGAAGAATCTCACTTTGAAAATCAACTTTCCACATTATGAAATTCATAATAATGTTATCACAGAACAACAACTTTAGCTTAACTCTTAGTCAACAACAATCAATTCCTTTATAATTTTCCCTTCCCAACAGAGAAATTAAATATCATGAGCTGAAAAAGTAATAAAGGGAATAAATATGAATGCGTTGTATGTTTTTGATAATACTATCCTTACAGTAACTAAAATTTAAGATACAGCACAACAATTCAACTATATGGTAAATATGAATACAAAGAGAACATTTCAAAAAACTCGCAAAACAAACTTTCACACATGAATAGCAAAGTGGCAAGTATGAAGGTTCTGCATTCAGGTACATAAACAAGAACAATCTTTCATAGAAACATGTTTCACAACTCCTTCATTTGATATAGTACATAATGTATTAATTTCAATACCTTTTCCACAATGTAAAATTACATGGAATAACTTAAGAAAAAGCCCAATATTTAACAGTAAATCATTTTAATGGGAATGAATATTATATTTGAATATGGTCTTTCTCAAAACTAATGGTTCCCTGAAATGTTGATTCCTTTACAACATGGCAATCAATGACAAGCAAATTAAACACCGACTCGAGGAAGGATTTGTTTTTAACTACTAGTTTGTTTCAAATCTCAGTCAAAAACGAAATCAAAACTAGGAAAGAACAGGAAGTAGAGCAAAACTCCTGCAATATCAAAATTCACAAGTAAACACTGAAAATAATTTTCCATATTAAATGGTGTTAAAATAGGCATTTACTATTTGGTAGAGAAATATTAATAACAAGATCATTTGCACAAGTTCCTTAATATCTCCTATTGCCTATTTTTAATAATCATCAATTTTAAACACATGTAATGTAATATTCTTATATAGCCTAATGATATCCTATCCTAGCCACTTTGTGATAATTTTTATTATTATTTAATTCAATTCACAATAAAAAACAGTTTTTCAAAAACTGATTGAGCACTGCAAAGTTTATTTGTTACTATATTATGACCAATACACTAAAAATATTATTGGATGAAATAATTACAAATTTACCATTGTAAGAAATTTTTTATACACATTTCAGTACAATTTAAACATTGATAACCAATCCACAAAGTCATTAGGATAAAATAAAATATTTTTACCATTTTATGAAGTTGTTTACAAAGTCAATATACAGATAAAAATGTGTAAGAAGTATTCTTCTCAGCAGATCTAATACAGCAAGCACAGGGAAGTAACAAACATACATTGTCTTTGTAAAAATCTTTTATGTAATACATCACCACAACTATCTGAATTATCCATTTTATAGAAGTGAATCTTTCATAGCACCTACCAAATAGTATACGTCCATTAGCATTTTATACAAGACTGAACTCTGCATGACTAGTTGAGTGATTAAATTCACCTCCTCCAACAATACAAATATAAATGCCTGTGTACTATGGGCAAATTTCTGAACTTTAACCAAAGTCTACTTGATTTTCATCTCAAGAATTAATGAATTAGTTAATTTTTAGGAAATGGTAAAAAATTATGATAATAATAATTATTATTTTAATAAAAATTCCAGGCAATTTGAAGGACATACCAGATTTGTACTAATATTTTCTCAATAATTACTTTACGGAATGTTATAAAACAAAGTAATAAAAAGAATTCATAATTGTAACCGTTTGCTTCATATTTCCAATTAGATAAATTTAAGTATTTCAAATTTATTCAAAGACATTAAGTAATATTTCTAAATACTGTGGGGTGAATCATGCTGAGTGCAATCCTATGCAGGCACAATATATTGCAAATTCAAGACCTATTCCACAAATCAAAGACATTATCAATAAAACAAATGTATGTTACGATGCCACTTAGTAAAAAGGTAGTGAATTTCACAAATTTTTTTAAAAAATATTTCTCCAACATGGTTTAATGCAGACTGATTTCACACAATTAAAAATTGGTGTATTGAAAATAATTTAAAGAACAGTACAATGTATCTGTTATAATTAAACTAAAAGAAATATTATGCATTGTTTTACACAGAATTTTGAACGATTGGAATATTTACAGTCAAAAGATAAGAAGCAAAGAGAACACAATTAGTTCCAATGCATTAAAAGATTTCTTCAAATCAATTCATAGCACACTTTTCCATGAATACACCCATAACCAGTAAAGAAATTTCAATTTCTCATAATAATAAATCATAAAGTAAAATTCAGGGTTAAAATAAAAATATACTTATCTGGTATTTACAACTTATATTGGCAAAAGAAGACAATGTCGGTTGAATAAAAGCACTCATAGCTACAAATTATTCTGAATTACTGCACTTCATACGAAAAGTTTTCAGAGGGTACTCAATTGTTTGGGAAATCAGAATATCTTGAGTGAGAAGTAGTACTCTGTTGGAAGTTATTAATTCATATTATACACTAGCAATAATCCCCATGCTATGACACACCAACCATGGTATAAAAAACCAAAGAACCTCACTATAGATGAAATATATATATATATAATATATATATATATATATATATATATATAATATATATATTATATATATATATATATATATATAATAATATATATATATATATTTGGGGATATTCCTTAAAAAACCATGAGTTGCCAGCTACAACAACTGAATATTGAGGCACACAAAGCACCGTCAAGAGTAATTTCATAAAAGAGAATATTTTAAGCCAAACCTTTGATAATATGAATGTGCACTAAGGTTTGTAAGATCCCAAGTACGATTTGCAGCTAGGGCATTCATGTTTAGTAATTTTCATACTATCAAAACAATATGGAAGGCAAGAGCAGCAGCAGCAACTGTGGAACAAGTGAAAAGAATATTTCAAGTTTAATTTTACAGATAATGTCATTTATCATTTATTTGTAATTTATTCTTCCAAATGCATTAAAGAAAATTTAACTTTCATTTTGGTTTTATAGAAATAAAGAAGGGTCATTTCATTTAGATGAAAAATAATTCATTAAGAATGTAATTTTTCGGAAGGTTTAAACTGTATACCCAATTATTTACATTTACAAAATAGCTCAACCCATTAAAAAAAGCAATGTGGAAAACTTACCCCAAAAGACACATAAGAATGCAAATGGCATGAGCTGAGCCTGCATTTGTAACAGTAGTAGTAGTGCGAACTTTTTGGTGACAAACAGGACAGGTTAGCGTGCACGGCTTTGGTCCAACCGGTGGAGGTGAAACATACACTATACCACACCACAAGAATCAAAATATTAGCATTCACAATGACAAAAAAGAAATCATACGTATCAAAAGATATCAAATGTGCATAACAATTTTCTTAATTTCCCAATGAACATCTTAAAAGTTATTTCACAGTTTGTGATGACCATAAAACCATACAGCATCTAGTTAGAGAAAAAACTATTTTATTCAAAAAAGTATTTTTAAATGTAAATAAAAATTGCTTTCTGATGAAATTTCAAAATTTACATTACTCTCCCAACCACATATACAGGCCTGAAAATAAATCATTAGAGGCAGCTATTTATAACAATTCTATTTGCAGGCATAGGAAAAGAAAACAAAGGAATAAGCAAGAATGAAATAAAATAAAAAAATAATGTAATGAGCAACTGCCTCAAAGACCTTTAGAGTGGAGATGGCAAATTTTTATTATTTCTCAAAACTCCCCTCCCCTCTACCACTTCAGGATAACAAATTAAATTCTAAAGTAAAACAATTCAGTAAAATTTTTTTGAAATGTTTGTTTATTAAGCATTGTTTGTGCATTTAATACAAAAGTACATGAATGTCAGTATGATTTTTAGTGAACACGTAGAATTACTGACGTTATTGTTCCTGGTGGGGCAGACATGACACTCATTAAGAATAGGAAGGCCAATAATTGTTTCTCAAAATTAAAATTAAAAAATTTAATTTTTCACATGATAATTTTACAAATTGTAAATGAAGTATTATATTAGCAACATTGATGTTGCTAATTTGACCAGTAAAAAATGATATAATGTTTTTTTCCCCAAAAAATTCTATTAAACACACATGATTTCATTTAACAGCCAAGGGCAATAACAAGAGAAGCTGTTCTGATACATCCAAATTTTCCAAATTTTCTTGAGGTTAGTTTAGGAGATCGAAAGTAAGACATTTAAAACTAAATTATTCATTTTCCTTGTTGAAAATTTTTTTTAGTCAGTACACAAATGCTTTCTAACAGGAGCATCAAGATAAACATTGATGTTGAAATGAAAATGATTGTACGAAACATGACATGTGATAATAAAATTCTATTCTATTCACTGGAAATGAGGAAGGAACTACGGAAATGAACCTACGTAATGAGTAGTGAGTTTAGTTGATGTTAGTGCATTAGAATTAAATACCTTCATTGCATGTGCATCAAAAAAGATGTAACTAACCCAAAAATTGGAAGGATATCTCCCATAAATAAGCAATATATACATATATGTGAAAGTTGATATCATTGTTCAAAATTGGGTGCATGGCTACAGAAAATGAAGAACAAAAGAGTGGTGTTAAACTGATTTTTTCATCCCACTATTACAGCCAAATAAGACACAATTCAAGTGAAAAATATTATAAACATGGTTTACCTATAAAATACAGCACAAATTTCCAGACTGATCTGATTTTCTAGTATTAGAGAAATTCCTTGATACTTTTTCATGATTTGACATTTTCCACTTCCAACATCCACCTTGAGCGAACTCATTACTAACACTTAAGCATTTACTTTGAGCATCTCGTACACGCAAGGTCGGTTTCCTTTACAATGTCTGAATTTGCATCTCACTTCGGATTCCCGAAGCCTTGGGCAAGAGAAGTTCCCCACCATATAGAAGAGATTACAAGCTATTATTATTTTTTTATATTATTATTATTATTATTATTATTATTATTATTATTATTTTTAATTATTATTATCATCATCATCATCATCATCATCAACAAACAATTTTAATATTTGATAGTTCTAACACTGAAATGTGCTCACTGTGAAGTAATCTGTGTGGTATGGAAAATTTTCATAAGGGGAATGCTGGGATGGTTTCACGATCACCTCCCACCACTCCACCTGCCACCTCCCACTATGATTCGGAGGCCCTTGCCCTTAATGGGATTTTAGTTGGCTAATAATAATAGTAATAGTAATAATAATAGTAATAGTAATAATAATAATAATAGTAATAGTAATAATAATAATAATAGTAATAGTAATAATAATAATAGTAATAATATTCAAATTAATGATAACACTAGTCAACATATATTTTGGTGTCTGGTGTCTCAGATATTAAAAGTTTTTCTGAATATTTCGTTCTGATTCCAAAATATGCACTAGTTGTAGGCTCTAGTTTTGTAAATATAGAATTATCATCATATACCCCACTTCCACATTGTGTGTGATAGAATTTGGAGGCATCAATGGGATTGGACATTATATATTTACTTTACTGATGTTAATTTGGTGTAAAATAAAATATTTTTTTATAAATGAAATATATTAAGTAGATAACTGTAAATCAGAATTTTTCATAAAAGGGTTTTAAAAATTCACAAAATATGTTCTGAAATCAGTTCAAAATATTTTCTTCATAATATAATATTCAATTAATAAACAATTAGTAATGAAAAGATAATTTCAATTAATGGTCATGTTTATACATCATACAGTAACTCTTTAATTTTTTTTATATTTTTTATATTTTTGAATAAGACTTGAGTAACAGGAATTATTTCAGCAATTGATGAAAGAAAAAAAAAAGGAAAAAAAGAAAGAAAGGAAAAGGGAAAAAAAGGCAGAAAGAAAAAGGGGAAAAAAGGAAAAGGGGGAAAAAGGAAAAAAGAAAAAGGGAAAAAAGGAAGAAAGAAAAAGGGAAAAAAGAAAGAAAAAGGAAAAAAGGAAGAAAGAAAAAGGGGAAAAAAGGAAGAAAGAAAAAGGGGAAAAAAGGAAGAAAGAAAAAAGGAAGAAAGAAAAAGGGAAAAAAAGGAAAAAAGAAGGAATAATAAAAAACAATATCAGCATAACGTAATACTAATATCTCTCTATACTTCGTTATATTTATATTGGCACTTGACTATTAATCTGTTACCATAGTGATGTTCAAGCTCCCGAATGGACGATACTGTAACCGCTGACTTGCGTCAAGTGACTATACAAATATATCGAAGTATACCGCAATGTAAAGCAGTGATATCTGCCTCAACCCCCCTCTCCCTTCATTGGTTCACTGCCTCGTAACTGCCCTAGTACTTCATACTCCGATCACGCGTCCGGCGCCCTGATTCTGAATCGTAACGGCTTGCATCCGCACCCCAGGTGCGTCAAGCTGGAATAGCCATGTCAGAACACCGGAATGAAGCATGTCAAATGATTTATTACTAATTAATTGCTACAATTTTGTACTCTACCACACATTTTTGAGGCGAAAACAAATGTGAACTGGCTTGACGCGACGCCAGAACACACTTTAGTATTATAACACACATATTATCCGGACAGAGAGAAAGAACAAACGAAAGTAAGGAACAAAAAGAACGAAAAAAAAAACAACAATTTTTTTCATAAAAAGTTCTTTTAACTCTAAAAATTCTAACAGAAAATTAAACAGAAATGGCACTTAGGCCCCGAGAGTATTACACCTCTGCACAGAATGCACTTCCCATAGCATGTTACGCAGCTATTAACAGTTTTTTTTTTTTTTTTTTTTTTTTTTTTTTAAATTTACGAGAATGGGGCACTACCGAGCTAGCCTAGTTTACAAGAAAGTGCCTTTCTGAGATTTGGGGAACAGAGCGAGAAAGGGTCATTGTGTAGCATCAATAGTTTTAACATTACATTCGAATTTTGGAACCAAAACGAATTATGTATTTTCACGAATAAAAGACCCTTCCGTTTTTTCGGATGAAACTATCGGAGGAAAAAAAAAAGTATCGCGTGATCAACCCCTTCTTTCTATCGCTGCCAATGAATTCTATGTACAAGGAGGGTTGGGAGAAAAAAAAAAAGAAAAACACCAAAAACACGAAACAAAAAACTTGGTTTCGATTCGTGATCCCGATTCCTCTCCTTTTTATTTGGAAAAGGGGGAATTTATGTTCGAGAAAATACAGCACACATATTGTGAGGTTAAAATAATGAAAAATAAGCAATTATATCTGAAAATGCCAACACACAAAACGAGGTTAGTGCCACTTAAATTTTCTACAAACCGGTAAGAATTATTTTGCGAAAATGTATTTTAAAATTGGTTTTACTTCAAGCAAAAAATACGCGGATACTAAACTGTTTTAAAAAATTGTACATTACCCGACTTGAAGATTTGTTTGAACTGATTTTAATGAACAAAACTTCTACCATCAATATTGTAGTTTCGCAATGTTAATTTTGTTGTTCGCAATTTACAAGAATGCAGAGTCAGCGGAAAATGGGGTCCAGCACCATTTTCTTTTCTGTCCTCTCCTACATACGAGGGGGGGGGGGATTAATTAATGTTGGAACATTTTGGGAACTTTTAAAAAAAATTGCCTTCATTACACACAAAATTCCAAAAAATTGAACATGACACCATTTCAAGATCAGTGTTCGATGACGAGATTTCACTGAGCGAAAACATTCTATCTAATTATTGTAGTTGTAGGAGACAAGGCTCAAATTTTTATTTACATCATCACAATGCTCAAAAAGAATTAATTCTGGTCGAACGTTTTTATTGTCTTCCAGATACAATATTTAATGATCAAAAGATAATAGATTTGTACCCTCATTTTTAAGCATTTATACAGCAATATATTGGATGACCTTTGGTTTCGGATAATTAATTACTACCTTTCTTTTACTTTCAAAATATTTAAAAGTTGATTTCAAAGGCCTACAATGACAAAATACAATGGATTTGATCACCCAGCTTTAAAAACTTTTTTTAAATTAAAAAAATGAACTTTTTTTATCATGTCAAGTTTTCTTGAAAAATTAAATTTTATATGGATTTTATGAAACATTTTTATTTAACAAAAATCAGCACAAACTTCTCTTGTATTTTTCAATGTGAATTCTATGTTACAGTGTTCAAAAATTGGAAGCACACTTCAATGTAATCAAGGCAAACTTGTGTGAATTTATACTGGCTTGTGTGTATTAAAGACCCTCCAAATACTGGAACAAAATAGATTTATTCATGTTTGTTTCTTTTGTAGAAGTAAGAAATTATTACTATTCCTGACTACCAAAATAATATCAAATATGCTCTGCAGGTGCTTCATTTGAACTTCTTGAAATGATTTCTGAAGTTAGTAATGCACAAATTACAATATTGCATAACTGTTCACAATAATACAAGAAAGAATGTTCTGTGGCAGCTGCTCTAGTTGATTTTATTATTGAGTATTCACAACGGCATTTGCACCCATTTCAGGTATTACATTTTACAGTATGTGGGGATAAAATGTAAAAATTTAAATTAAAAAAAATACTCTTTTCTATAATGGAACGTGAAAAGGAAGACAGGGTTCTTAAAATTGATTTCATTTGTTCCCAACATATTCCATACTGAACTGGTTGGAAGCATTTTGTACATCTGAAAAACTTCACATTTTAATTTGCAATACAATTTCAGCTACAAAACTAGTTTGCACATTATAATTTGTAATTACATATTTACCAGGAATCAACAAATATCAAAATGTTAGAATGATACCCACTTTTATTAGAATTAAATAATTAAGTAATAGTCTGTAAAAACAACTTTCTTCAAACTTTTCTTAATGTTAAAATAGGAGTAAATGAATAACATACAGTTTAAAGCAACAATCTTTTGTCTTCTGCAGTTTTAACATTTTAATGCATAAATATACAATATAAATGTGAAAATGTTAAGCAAAAATTGAACGAAATTTGACTGACAGACCAATCATCAATTTTGATGAATTCAATGATGATAAAGAAATGTTTCTTCCAGAATGTCAAAATGTAGTTAGAGACAGTTATTGAAACAAAAAAGATACACGGCAATTGAAACTCCCAGTCTTCAACAGGTGCAATGATGGGGAAAAAGATTGCTTTTCATTAACATTCATTCTAAAGTATAGAATATTTTGAATATATTTCTTCATCTCCCAAAAATATCTGTTTACTCTCTGGAGGAAGCCTATCCTTTGTTGCAAAACAAATGAAAGAGACAGGGCACTGAAAAACAATAAAACTGATAGTGCGGATGTGACAAGAAGAATGATGTGGAATAATTTGATTATCGAAGAGTTTGAAGCATTCGTGAATGTATTACTCTGCACAAGAATAAATTTCTTGGAATGTTGAGCTCATGAATTTGAGAAATGACCAATTTTTTCAGGTGGCTATTAACATTTCAAGATTTGAACACATAAGACTATTTTTTCGTTTGAATGCAAGGCACATACAAGATCAAAGGTTGCAAACAGACACGTCATCAGTCTTCAGTAACATATGACATGTCTTCATCAAGAACTGACCATATCGGAACAATCCTAGGGAGTGACATTGTAGATGAACAACTTTTACGGCAGGAACCCTTTTATTATGCAATGCCCAATAAACAAGTAAATTACATAAAATCATAATATTTCAAGTTTGTGAAACTAGCCATGGATAAGCATTGAAAGGTATTATTTATAGAAGAAATGAAGTGATCGTAATAACAAGGTCATCAAAAAGTAAGCAAAGAACATTCACGTATGACATTTCTAATCGAAAAACTTAACAGATTTTTTCTTTTACTTCTCTTTAATCTGTATATAAAGATAGAAACAAATATAATAAAATGATAGACCTATTTTATTCTTATAACACTTTCATTTCAGGCAAAATAAAACTCAGCTTAAAAGGCCCCATCTTTGCATTGATGGTCTGAGATTCACTGGATCAGTGGATTAAAGACAAGCCAATACTGTAGCTTGCATTAGAAGAGTCATGAAATACTGGACACACTTTTTCTTACATTGTTTCTATTTGCCACAGGCCTTATGGGATGCTATGGTGATTTTTATCATTTAAGGTGATGTATAAATATAGTTGTGAAAAGTCGAGGTCATTAATTCCAAAACAATCCATATCTTCAACGCCTCAAAACAACTACTTTTATACAATAGAAATGATCACAAAATAAATACTTAACTCATAAAATTTATGACAAGTTTATCTTGAAGTGTAAGAATTGATATGGAAAGAAATAGAAATAATGTGACTTGTCATAATAGTCTATTACACACACACACACACATATAGATAAGAAACCAACTTGCCTGTAGTTGCAGGTGCTGCTGGTTGCTGAATGGGATACATGGGCATTTGACCCTGAGGTAGTGGAGGTTGAGGAGACGGTACAGTCGGTACAGCCATAGGGGGAACTGGTACGATACCAGGCATTGCGACACTTATATGTCCAGAATACTCTGTAGCAACTGGAGGCATTGGTGTGACTGCACCCTGCACAAGTGGTGCATGTTCTGGGCTAGGCAGAATCGGAGCTGAAGCACCAGCGACTGCAAATACCAAACAATATTAAGAAACGCATAACCTTAATGATTCACAGAGAATAAATTTCAGGATTACACTCACAAGTTCCGACTGTTCCATGTACGGCTTCCTCATAGCTGGGGGGTAAAGCTTCTTGTGCTTTAGACATGTTTCTCGAAATTAATCCTTGTAAAATAGACTAGTTCAATGCAGGTCACTACACCACAATCTGAAAAATTAAGTAACATTACAGTTTGAAGAACAATAAATTCTTAGCATATGAGCTATTTTGAGAAATCGAAAATTTCAATCAACATTAACAAATCGTTTACCGGCAGTCTCTTTTGACAAAGAGTCTAATGACAAGTTCTATAACAGGGCACAGAACACTCAGGGTTCACAATGTTTCGTTACTGCTCGTATATACTTTCTACGTTACGTACGTAAGCTCAACAGTAAGTACATATTTCATCATTTCATTACTAAAGAATTAATCAATTTTGAGATAATTCTGGGGGACTCAACCAGAAAAAAACAAAAATATTTAATCTAGCAATCAATTAAGCACAGCCCGTTTTCTATTACACTCTCTTGTTGCATAAGTTAAGTTGGCTATACTGCTTCCCAGCTGTTTGTGCTCTCTACCATAAGGAAGGGCGTAGTCAAAGTATCTATTAAAATACTGTTTTAATTGTAAGACAGTCGAGAACAAAGTCCCCATAAATAAAAAAAAAATTAGCACTAACTAGCTGCGCATATGCAACATTCTTACCTCCAACATATTATATTCTCACTACTAATAACATTTCAAATGAAATATTTGACAGATTGTACACCGGGTAATCACACAAATAAACAGCATGAATATAACGTGTGATTTACAACTTGGAACTAATTTTTAGAACTCAATTCGATCACTCGCTCACTACACACTGAAAGAACAAGAACGAAGGCATTGAAGTTTGATACGTATTCATGTTTCACACAACTCACATTAACTGATACCATTACAAAATGCCATTAATTTAATGAGATAATTCACAAATTGGCAACAGAAACAACACACAGTTGGATTTGTCACCTAGTTCATGAGTTGCTTTTGCTTCTCTTAAATGCATGCGCTGTTGACATATGCATTATCTTTCACAATAACGCTGCTACATTCGATTCGACACATGCACGTCTTCAGTTTGACAGTGACTCGAAATAGCATCAGACTGTAATACCTCAAAGCACTCCTAAACACACAATCCTCCGCAATGCAGGCGGAAAGAGCGATTTTGTCCATGCAATCACCTCTGCCACTCCTTCCCCTCGCCCGCCGCTTCTCGAGTCCTTGCGACGACCATTTGGCAACTGCGTGGAAGCGCATGGCAACAAAGCAATAGCTTGTCAAGCCTCTCTCAAGTACCCCGGTGCGAGGAATGGCGACGCGGTTATCATGCATGGCTCGGTTGTGTTGAAGATAAAAAAAGCTTGGCAAGGTGGCGCGGTGGTAGGAATCGAGATGACGGTTTGGTAAACTAAACAGTGGAGATAGAACGCGCAGTCCACGAGCTTGTTTGGATCACTGTGAAACTGTGATTTTTTAACTTCATCGGAATGGCAGCGGTCCCGCAGTATCGGCGCGTATGGAGAGATTTTTTGGAAGCGTATATGTCGATGCCGTGCTTGTGGCAAGTTCGATGTCCAGATTACGGAAATCGTGAAAAAAGAGACGAGTGTTATTACAAGTTAGCAGAAATGTGTCGTCAAATCGAACCAATGGCGAACAAAGAATTCGTTTTAAAAAAAATTAATTGTTATAGAACGACTTTTCGTAAGGAACTGAAAAAAGCATTGGACGCCCAAAGAAAAGGATCACACTACGAACCTACATTATGGTACTACCGAATACTTCTACCCGTAGCGGAACAGCAGCCCACATCGCCTGTGGTAAAGGTGGAGAAGATAGAAGACCATTCAGCAATTCATTCAGCAATGGTAAGAATTACGCAGACAGCCAAGTATAGCTTACTGGCGCAGTCGGAAATTTAATACTTATGCATGTCACTGATAGGACCCCGGCGTTTTACATCGTCGGCGTTTCTCCCAACACCGATTCAGTGTCTGCGCTCCGCATTCGCGTTTTGCGCCTTTGAGCTGGACGGCCGGGACTCTCGTGCATTTATTTTCGTTTGATATCAAAATCAATAACCCTGCTTCAGGACATCGTGGAGTTGCTTGACAGTTCGGAGTTGCGCACAATGCGAATAATTGATTGGGCGCACGGCTTGCTCACGTTGCTTGTTCGCTAAGCTCTGCGTGCGAAGAAATGACAAGGCACGGCCGGGACGACAACCGTCACTTGATCGCGCACTTGTTTATGGCTAAACATGACAAAGAAATCTGACGTTAATATCTGATTGCTTAAACGAATGCTTTGAGCAAGGTGTCAAAATCGAACTTACCTCAGGCATACATATTAATGTTTTTAAACAACCGGAATCCGGAGCGAGGCATTTCGTTTCAATACTAATTACTTCTTCATCATAGAAGTTTTGCTCTGAAGTAGGCTACGTACTAGATACTTGATCAGATTAAAATCAGAATAAAATAATCCTAAGCGTGAGAGTTCGTGGAAGTTGTTTAAGAGTGAAATGTGGGTATAATTTGTTTTGATTAGAATAGACACAGAACACACATTGAAGCACAAAAATGACGATCGTTTGATATTATGATCAATCTTTCGAATATCTAACCAATTTTGTAAGTAAAGCCGTAGGCGCCCCCTATACCGTTGCACCCTATACCGTACGCAAAGACGCTCATGAGTAAAACAAGAATGGAGAAAAGTAACAATTATTACGATATTTTATTTATTCATGGATATCAATTGAAATAGGAAATCAGTTGGTGAGTTATTCACAAATGTCTAATCAAAATAAGTTCTAGAACCTCGTTTCGCATGACTGGAACTTGAAGACAACCCATCTCAAGTTTCGCATTTCGTACATTCGCTCGCCCGAATTTCTTCCGTGTTTCGTCCGACTGAATTTTCGCGGTAAAATATAATAATAATAATAATAATAATAATAAATCGTGTTTGTTACCTTTATATATTTTATTTTATCAAAATATAAAATGCTGGCTCATAAAATAATATTAATCTACAGCTTCATTAACATGCTACTTCTCCTGCAACAGTCGTGTTCAAAAACTGACGAGTCTTACCTTCAAGTAAAGTTCTATTCTAGAATCTATACTGGCAATACAATTACACATATCTCCATGTATTACAATTTCTTCAGAAATGAATGGTTGTCGATTTTGTTTAGTTCTCGTGGGAGCGGGCGTGTTAAAGGAATTCCCGAAATACAAAAGTGTCTTCGTAGTGCCATATCCATTAACGCAGTCTTCTTGACTGGATGTTGGCAACCAAGCCTTGACTGCAGGAGAACTGAAACTTGACTGCAGGAGAAGTGTGAAACGAATGACAAGATAGCCAGTGGACTGCTTGTTCTCACTCGTCAGTGACAAATATCAGGCGTGATGAAATGAAATACCTCGAAAGCTTATATAT